CAAAAAAAAAAAAAAAAAAAAAAAAAAACTAGTTTAGGGGCTAAATTTTGAACTAAAGTATCTAGTTTAGTTTGGGTCTAATTTTTGCCAAACAAAAAACAAGAAGTTTTGTGAAGTTGCCAGAAAGACACCCTAGCTAACATTCTCCCCTTCTCCTCCCTTCAGAGATAACGTCATTCTGATCCAAGCTGACAAAAAGATTAGCTAAATTATAGTCTAGAAAATTGGGGGATATAGATTTGCAAAGTAGAGTTTTGACCCACAATTACAATCTAGTGAACTTCAAGGCAAATACAGGTCCAGAGCCCGTAAAGCTACCAAAAACCTACTTAAATGATAGTAGTAATTACATAGAACCACCAAAAACTACTCAACTTCCCAATGAGGCATGTCTAACATAAACTCCTGGCAAATACATGAGACTGCCCCCTAAATTAATTAGTATTTAACGTCCATTAAAAAACAAAAAATCTAGTCTACTCAAAGAATCCATGACCAACCATAATGTTGAAAACTTGAAAATATAATAAAAAATAAAATAAAATCAAACAGTACTTCTCACTGACCTTGACTCAAGATCCAATTCCAGTAGCAGTACCCCCCACAACCCTCCATGTGTTTCTCAAGGTCCTTACTTATGGCCAGCCAAATGATTGACTAGCAATCATTTCCATACAAATGGCAATCTGATAATACTATTGCAACCCCTTAGCCTAACATTGGAGTGTTTCGAAATAAAACTCAGAGATGCAGATATTTCTCGTCGTCTGATTGTACGATCATCCTCCTCCTTAAATGACAGCATCATTGTAACCGACTCTAAGTAGTATGAGTACACCTCAACTATTAAGCAAAATTAATCATTTTAGTCTTCTCAAATCTTCTCTGTTATCTTCTCCCGCTGCACTTATCCTTCTTTCTTTAATCTTCATGTATATTCTGTATCCACTTTCTAGTTAATAATTTTCTTGGCATCTTGCGCCGATTACTGGAAAAAAAAAAAAAAAACTCCTTCACCTGCTAACATAGACATCCCTTAATCCTCCACCACAAGCTCATAGCCAACCTATACAACTGCCATGGCTGGAGATTGAACCAGGGCATGACCAGAAAAGGGTAAAATATAAGCACTGTTTTAGTTATTGCCATCTTCATAGATAGCATGTGACCATCTTCATAGATAGCATGTGCTATGTGAGGCTTAAAGAAGTCAGTAATCAGCCTTGTCTCCTTAAGCATTCATACTTGATAATAATAATAATCCAATCATGGGCTTGGTTCCCAATGACAAGATTCTGATTGCAGGCAGCTAATTCACATTATTATTGTCTTGACTGTACGGGTTTAGCTATGAGATCACATGCTACGCGAGGCGGTTTGCCTGACAAAGAAAAGGTTGAGGTTGAAGGAGAACGTAACGCTCACATGGGGATATGGGGATCGGTGATTCTTTAAATTGGTTGGCAGTTTAGATTATTGAGTCAACTTGTATATGCAAGTTGGCTGAGGGTACGTAGGTTGGGTTCATCCCCATGTAAGCTAGAAATTTGAGTCCAATTCAGACCCAAGGTTGGACTAGGCTTAGGTTTTACTTGTATATTTAGGGAAAATTGCACATAATCCCCTTTGAGAATACCTTCAGTTGGACTAACTAAACACCCCTCAGCTCATTTGCTAGCACGTGAATTTATGAGAAAGAGGGGTGTTACTTGCAATTTATCTTCCTAAAAATGACAATTCAGGAGACCTATTTGCTAGTAAAGATTTGAGGGTTGATAAGTACAACTAAAGGTATAGATGAGGGGGTTATGTGCAATTTACCCTATATTTTGCCTAGTGGTAGACGACTATCGCAAGGAGTACAAAGAACTCAGTGCACTGCTAAGAAGTTTTCTATCATGTAGCACGAAAAACTAGTCGGAATCGTCTGTATTTATGTATAAGATTGGATGGTTCTCACACGAGCATTCATTAATGTAGCCGATCCTAAATATTTGAGACAGCTTGTCATTGATATCCAAGATCCTAGGGTGCCCCAAGACAAGATTAGCTCCTTGCAACTTGAGATTATAGTCAAATTCAGACTCCATGTTAGGCAAAGGTTTAGATTTTATCACAAGCCACAGTGCTATTTCTAGTTTGAATTAGTCAAGCTTTCGTCTTGTTTCATTCTGTTGTAGTTAGAGAATCTTGACCAGCATGGGAAAAATCCAAACTCAACATATGAGTCCACATTCCCTCTCTATTTATAGCTTCAGAATCTTATTCAATTTAAACCAAAGATTGGCGACTTGCACCCTGATTTATAGGAATGAAGTAAGATGCTTGGATTATGTAAAAATTCAGTCTTTGGTTATTCACTTGTAATGATTTTATTCGTTTGGTGAGATGCGCGAAATTTTGTGAAAATGCCCCTTTCTCAAAGGCCCAAAAGCAATTGAGTCCTGTTGATACAATGCCCTCTTTGCATTCAATTGCCAGGAAAAAAAAAATTGGACCATCACTATAATCAAGTGTATCATTCTTGTACAAGATGTTCTTAGATGCCTGAAGTCTGTATAATTTACTTTAGCCTTTCTTCTTCTTGCTTTAGGACACGCTGGATCCACCTCTCATAATTATCACAATTTGCTCTCGGTAGCATGATAATTTCAGCATCTGTTACCAATAATCATTGCAGGAACAATCTCCAGTCTCAAAATGATGAAAACGATTTGCGTCCCTAACAATTATCAAACGGTTGGCAATCTTAGCAATAATCTTGATCGCGTTGTGACAATCTGCACAAATACGAAGATTCTTTGTTATCCGAATAGGACCCTCAGGTTTCAATTTCATCAAGCCAAATGCAACGGCGAGCCTCTCGCTATGGTAAGACAGTGCAGCTTCCTTCGTTTCATCTTCAACATCATGAAGAACAAGTTCTACTTGAGGAACATATCCTAATTGTTTCATTCTTGCAGTTAGTTCTTGCAAATAAGAATATATTTCTTTCGACTCAGGATGAGACCTGTCATCTACTCCAAACTTGAAAATTTTGCCATTGAATTCAATCAGACTAAACCCTTGTTCTTTACTAACTTTTCGGCCTACCATCAATTTCCTCACTCTTTCAACATCTTTCCATCTCAATTTCGCAGCGTAAATGTTGGATAAAAGGACATAATATCCTGCATGAGCAGCATCCAACTCGAAGATTTTATCTGCAATTTTTTCTCCAAGATCTAAATCACCATGAATCCTACAAGCTCCAAGCAAGGACCCTAATATGCTAGAATCTGGTTCCATAGGCATTTTCTCTACAAGCTCTTGAGCTTCATTCAACTTCCCTGCACGACCTAGAATATCAACCATACACGCATAATGGTTCAATTGGGGATCAAGCCCAAATTCCAATTTCATCGAGGAAAAACATTTCTTGCCTTCTTGTAATAACCCCGAATGGCTACAAGCAGAGAGGAGAGCAGTAAATGTAGCATGATTTGGGTTAGTTCCAGCATCTACCATCATATCAAAAATAGCAATAGCTTCATTTCCAAGCCCATGATATCCATAGCTCGTTATCATCGCACTCCAACAAACCACATCTTTACCATTCACTCGATCAAACATCATTCTCGCCAAATCCAAGCTCCCACATTTCGCATACATATCAACGATTGCAGTCGCAACCAAAATGTCCATCTCAAATCCAGTCCTAATCGCATAATTATGAAACCACTCTCCTTTTCTTATAGCCCCAAGTCGCCCACAAGCAAGTAGAGCACTCAACAAGCTCGCCCGATTCGACATCACATTTGAAACCCGCATCAAACCAAAAAACTCCAAGGTCTCCGTACTATACCCATTATGGGCATATCCCGTAATCATTGAGCTCCAGCACACCACATCTCTTTCCAGCATTCTATCGAACACGTTACGTGCAAGCACAACATCCCCGCCTTTCGAGTACATATCAACCAAAGAAGCATTGACATGCAAATCATCACAACATCCAAAACAAACAATGTGGGTATGCACTAATTTTCCTAGATTGAGGTTCGACAACCCGGCACAGGATTTGAGGGCAAAGGGGAATGTGAACTTATCGGGCTGGAGGTTCGAAGACACGAGGGTAGAGTAGAGCCGAAGAGAACAATTAAACCGGCCATTGTTGGCGAAAGCTCGAATGATTGTGTTGTGGACGAAGCTTGAGGGATTGGGGATTGAGAGGAAGAGGTCGAGAGCAGGGTCGATGAGATTGAAGGAGAGGTAAGAGAGAGTGGTTGCTGAGAGAAGAGAGGGGTGACGGTTGAGGCCGAGGGTTAGGATTTTGGAATGGGTTTGTTTGAGGTGTGTTGGGTTTGTGCATGATTTTAAGAGGGAGGTGAGGTTGGAGACCAGAAGTGTTTGATTTTGGAGGGGAAAAGTTGGAGGGAGAAGAAGAAGCGGTTTCATAAAATGAGGGGATTAAAGTGTTTGATTTTGGGTCTTCGTTTCTCGTTTATTAGCAGCATTTAGATGCGTATGTGGATCGGACACGGTACGAATATGAATGTATGCATCCTTAAATAGAACTTGTATCTTTATCCGCTAAAATCGAACACGAATAAGATCGGAGAAGAGAACAATTATACTAATAGAATACAAGCATGAGAAAAATAGACACGACTGAAAATATGCAGTATACGTGGTACAATAAAATGTTTCAATATCATATATTTCTCGAATAAAACATCCATTAATATGTTTGATATGAACTATCATTTGACCTTTAGATCATTAAAGTTGACCTCAAATCTATCAATATAGTGGTCATAACAACATCAACTATATCATTGATTTTATTTTTGATTGTTTAAATTACAGATGTAGATATTTCACTTATATATCTGCACTTGTACATATCCCATCATATATAGATACTTGGTTGGTATTTACACATAATATGAATAGAGATATATCTGTGGATATCTATGACTGTTGTTACACCCCTTTTTGGAGGTGAAGGTTTGACGAACTTTTAAGTGAACTAGTATGCAATACGTGCGTCGCACGTGATGCATATTAAAAACTTTAAGAGTTAAAATTCATAATGTTTTCATAATTATGCATTGAACTTATTTAATAAAGTATATATTATATAATGTTTCCATAATATTATATTATTTAATAAATTATATATTACCATTAAAAATTATTTTAGTGCACTATGATTAAAACATTTTAATTTATACTAATATTAGTACTTATACTATTATTAACATAAATTTAATAGTTATTTAAAATTTTCTATTATTATATTATTAAACAATTTATTTAGGAGTATAATTATTAAATAATAATGTAATCATTAGTTTAAGTAACACCATTGATATAATTAAACCATTTAAATTATTAAATATTTATGTCATGTACATATTTTATTACAATATCTATTAAATAATGCCAATAAATTTTAATACTATATGACTTTATGTTGTAAAGAATATTACCTTGTTCGATAATTAATATCGTCTCAATAATAAAAAATTAGATGGTATAAATTAAAAATACTATTATTTAGAAAAATTGTTTTATATAAAAATATTGGATCCTTGAAATATATGAGACATTTACTTTCCAACAAAAAATGTATGACTCTTTATAATAAATTATAATATATTTATTAATTTTATTATCATTATAAATTATTAGTATATTCTAGCGAGTGGCCAAATATTTTGAAGAAAAGAAGAGAAAAGTATATGCCTCATAAATTTCAAGGATCCAATTTTTTTATATAAATTAATTTTCTACTTTCTAAAATAAAAGTATTTTTAATTTATAACATCTAAATTTTTATTACTAAGATGATATTAATTATCAAAAAATATAATATTCTTTATAACATAAATAAATAACCCTATTTATACTATTATTAATAATTATAATTATATCCAATAATTTATTAAATGAATGACTTTTACTATTTTATATAATTAATAATTCTTTACAATAAATTATCATATAGTCATAATTTTTCATCATTATAAATTTTTAATATATTCTAGCGAATGACCAAATAATTTGAGAAAATGAAAAGGTGCATAGTTAATGTGAGGTTATTGATCATTAGTTTTATAATTAATGATATAACTTTGAGTTATAAGAAATTGAGAGGGTAAAAAAGGAATTCAAAAGTTTTAACATGAGTATTCTCTTTTATAAGTAGTATAGATTATAAGTGTAAAAGGCTTGTTTTAGATTGAAGAAAATCTTTAGTTGAATGAAAAAAAGAATATCATTTATGGTGTGTTTGGGAGATGACTAAGGAAAGTGAAGGAAGGGAAAAAATTTCCCTTCATTCCCTTCCTCTTCTTTACCCCCAATTTAAGGGGTAAGATTTTAGTTCAATTTTCCTCTCGTTCCTTTCCTCTAACCTTCTAAACGGAACACCCAAATAAAGTAATTATTATAACCAATTATTACTGAAAACAGTTCTCTAAGACTGTACATATTTGGTTTTGGTATCTTTCATTATTTTCAACACCTTTTTTACTAAAAATAAGAGAAAATTGCTTCAAGGCCCCAAAATCCAAGTTTCAATGTGCCCCAATCTCTCACATTTTTTTAAATGTGCTGCAGCCTTTTTTTTTGAAAAAACTGTGCACAGGGCCCTCCGTCATGATTCCAGTTCATGATTAGACATGCCAGCTCCTAATATCCCAATTTTACCATTTCTCTTCCTCATGCCAGCTCATCCCAACTCATGTTAACTATTATAGATATCATGTTAACTATTGTAATTTCATAAATATGTTTTGAGCTCAATGTGTGAACTGTAATAGTTAACATGTTACCTATAATAGTTAACATGTTAACTATAATAGTTAACATGAGACACGAAGTTCCTCGGGATGGCGACGGAGCAGGGGAGGGAGGTGTAGGGGGGAGGTGGCAACGAGTGAGGGAGGTGGAGGATGGGAGAGAGGCGGAGCGGGGGAGGGAGGTGTAGGAGGGGAGGGAGGCGGAGCTGGGGAAAGGAGGTTGGCATTGGAACTTGTGGAGAAGGGTCTGGACACAATTTTTTCAAATTATAGGGGTTGTATCACATTGGGGGGCTGTGGCATATTAAAACTTGAATTTTGGGGCCAGCAATTTTTCCTAAAAGCAAAATCTAAATCTAAATTTTAAAAAATTGTAAAATAATTATAGATTAAAAAATGCATTTTTAGGAAAATGCCAAATACCAAACCTACTTTTGTAATTGTTTCATATTGTTTTCTTTTCCCAAAGTCCTCAAATTTTCGTTCGTTCGTTCGTCTACAAAATTCGCGAAAAAATAACGTGCCGAATTACTTTGTTCTCTCTCCTTTTCGTTCCCCCCCGATCTCGCGACTTCAGAGCTTGCTCGCTCAAATCGACCATGGCGTCTTCTAGCTCTCCAATAAACCGACAACCGAACGAATCAGATCTCGACGAAGAAGAGGACGATCAGAATCCTAACGAGGTTCTTTAATCTCAATCTCTCAAAATTTCGTACTAATTTCTAGTGATTTAATTTTTGATATTCTTGTATGCTAAACGATAGAATGTTGACATTGATTGCAGCTTGAGTGCTTCGATGATTTCACTGTTGCATCTTCATGGGAAAGGTAAAACTAAAAAAAAAAAAAATGAAATTTGAGTTTAAAATTTGGATGTAAGTAGTTGATTAATGCCTGATAAATTTTCTAGGTTAATTTCGGATGTAGAGGCTGTTTGTCGGCAGTGGATGGCTGATGGTCCAATTAATTTAAAGGTTCGAGTATATTAGTTATTCTTTTATACTTAATCTTACGAACTGAGTTGAGCAATTTTGAAATGCAATTCTTCATAGTTGATTTGTGAATCACTGGGAATTTTATTGGATTTGGCACCTTGAAGTCAATGCAATTCCCTACAACAAACCATGCTATCCTTTTCTCCCCCTTTTTTATTTAGGGGGTGTTAGTCAATTGGGACATTTTCATGCAAAATGAGATAATTGTTAAAGTGGAATAATGTTTCGCTAGTGGGATATTTTAGTGGGATAACTAGGAACAATTTTGTGAAGCGGGATATTTTGATAAAATAACGTGGGATAAATTTTTATAATCATGAAGTATATATTTATGCATTTTGAAGATATAAATACTATTTATGTATTTTAAACTTACTATTATTGATTGATAATTGCTTATAAGAATGTTCTTTACTATTAAATAACTTTTAGTTAGACTATAAGATATTGACAATTATTATTATTATGATGGTCTAATGATGGTGATAACCATAATAGGAAATATGTAAAGAAAAAAAGAAAAATAAAAAATAACAAAAATAAATATGAGTTCTAGTTTTTTACCACCTAGTTCCAAGCTAAAACTTGGAATAATTTGAGAGACTAGAACTCTCATTTGTGTATAGAAAAATAAAAAAAGTGGGATAATTTTGTACCATTATCCTAATTCTAGTTTTGTTAAAGTTCCACTTGACTAACACTGTAAAATTTTATTCTAGTTTTAGTTCTATGTGACTAACACCTTAAAATTTTGTTCTAGGTTTAGTTCTATGTGACTAACACCTTAAAATTTTATCCCACGGATTATCCCATAGATGGGAGGCTTAAGTAGAATGATTATCTGACATTTGCTATGGACTTGCAATGTGTAGTGACTTCCTTTTCATTTCTGCTTTATGGCATAAGCTAAAGATCTAATATATTTTGGGAAACAAATTAGAGGGGTAAATAGGCGAAATTCAGCGAGTTTTCACATGGGGCTTGGGAAGATATAGGAAAGTTAGTCAAGTAGAACTAAAAGCTAGAACTAGGATAATTTGTGAGATAAAATTTTAGAGTGTTAGTCATGTAGAACTTTAAGTAGGATAATTTTTTAAGGTGATAGTCAATTTCACACTATTGTCTTCTTTGTAGGGGTGCTAAACCGTATCCATATATGAGGAAATATCTGTAATCGTATCTGTTAGGATACATATATGGTTACTCAAATATATAATCGATAGGATACAATTATGGATATAGTTTTATAGGAAAATATCCGGATCCGTACACGAAATATCCGGATACATATTAGTCATACTGTTATGATAGTTTCAATCCTTAGATTATGGATTTGAGGTTAATTTTGATGATCAAGATGTCTAATCTTAGCTTTTCAAATATAATGAATTTATTAATCAACTAATTTCAATCACATGAACTATATTTTTTTTCAATTCTATCTAGTTTTCTCATATCCGTTTTATTATCTACAAACAATAGTATATGATCCCATTGATAAATAATACTCATCATACAATATGAGGTCATATGCTTAGCTTATATTTATATAGTAGAAGAGATGTGGAAAAATTAAAGCATCATATTTTGAATGAGTCTCAAGATTTTAAATTATTTCATGAAAGTATATACTTCGCTTAGAAAACTTTAGAAGAGGTTTTCGAAGGACTACTACAATGTGTTGGACATCAAATAAATATTAAACAAATAAAATCTATGATATCGGACTGTAAAAATTAGGGATATGTATATAATACTGGGTGTCATATGAGATAATATTCATACATAACATGACATTGTAATATGTAATCTAACATATTAGTGAATTTTAAACATAAGAATTTACATCAAGATATATGCTAAAGATTTGGGAGAGGCAAGAGTGGAGAGAATTGAGAGAAGAATTGTGACCTTTGTGGGTTTTGTGGGTTCTGATTTTGCTTCCTAAATAGTTCTAAATTCGAGCCCACAATCAAATTAAAAACGACATTATTTTCTCAATATCTTCGAAGGGATATATCGGTCATATTTTCTATAATGGTTAATATATCAATAAAATCACCAAACAAAAGAAAACAATATAAAATATTACCGAGATAAAGTCTTTAACCCGATATATTGACCAATATAGCAATATATTAGCCATTATTTAATAGAATGCCTATAAGAGCAAATATGTAAATGTTATTTATATATTAGTTCCTTGATTTTAAGTATCCAACAATTCTATGTTATTCCCTCAAATTTTTGAAATTACTCATAATTTTAGGGATTAATATTAAATTATTAAAATTTTGAGGGACAAATTATAAATAAGCCATATTTAAAAGAAAAGTTAATTTTTTAAAAGACCCTCTCAACTATGAGGATTATCTTAAAAAATCCACTCAACTGATTCAATTTGGGGGTGGGGGGGGGGGGGGTGTTATAGATAACCCCTCTCAATTTTAGTGTAATTTTAGAAAACACCTCTTAACTATAGCGTGTCTCATAAAAACTCTCCTAATCTTTTATACTTCTATCAATAAACCCCCTTAACATAGTTACTTTAATATGTGATTTAGACAAAGTACCCTCTTGAAAAAAATCAATTTTAATTAAAAAGAAACTCTCAACTGATAATAAATGGACCATAAAAATACCTTCATAACTTGTGTCTAATTTGTCTAATTTGATTTCATCAGAAATATCTTAAAGGAATTTTTCTTTATGAGATAAGGAAGAGATCAAATGATTAAGATAGCCTCTCTTTCACTTCATGAGCTTCTCCCCCTTTTATAGACGTTTAGAGATACTATACTAAAATGCCTTCATAACTTGTGGGTCCCACGCGAGCAAATTTGTCAAAAGTCAAAGCCTACTAGAGGTTAGGTTGTAGATTAGTTTTTTGACAAAAGTTTCTTCATGCTTAAGTATTAAAAGATGAGAATCCAAAGTAGCATACTGTGTGTAATCATATCAGCTATCATTTTTTTCTACACTTGCTGCTTTTTAGCTGTGAATAAAATTACACCGGTGAGCTGGGGGACGGGTTTCCCTACCGCAGGCCACTCCACCACCGGCTAACTTGGCTCTGATACCAATCGTGATCAGGACTGTTTTAGCCTTGATACGACAGAGCTAACTCGTGGGGAGTACTGTGTAGACGTAGGAGGATATATATACTATTTATAGCTATATTTTCTTCTTCGTTCACATGTATATCAAAAAGAAAAGGAAAAACAGTAAAATAGTAAAGACAAAAGCAAAAGAATATACAACGGAAGCTAATACAAAAATGAAGAACTTTAAAGCAAACTAAATAGTAGTATTAACAAGAGGCACACTTACATACTTGACGAAAAGTAAACTTTAAAACTTACAAACTAGGAGCTGGGTGATAAACTGCTCAGCCCCGGAGTAATAGTACTAGTACACACTTATTTTACAAACACTCAAAAGAAAACTTGAAAACAGACTTCACTCAAACTCAAACTTCAAACTAAGAAACTAAAGAGAGAATAAGAGGAATTCTCAAGATGATCTCACACTTCACCTTCCAAAAAACCTCCCCTCACTTCATGAGCTTCTCTCCCTTTTATAGAGGTTTAAAGATACTATTCTAATATGTCTTCATAACTTATGGGTCCCACACCAGCAAGTTTGTCAAAATCTACAAGATGTTAAGGGGTAGATTAGCCTTTTGACAAAAGTAATTTCATGCTTAAGTATCCAAAGAGGGGAATCCAAAGTAGCATACTGTGTGTAGACATATCTGCTGTCATTTCTTCTGCAGTTGTTGCTTTTAGCTGTGAATAAAATTTACATAAAAGTTAATTGTTTTAAACTAAAAAAATATTGATAAGAGTTAATTGATTTGGTGTTTAAGTCATTGATATTAATCAAATACGGGATTTACCATAAGTTAATGGCATATCACATATTGTTTTAAACTAGAAAAAGATGTTGATAAGAGTTGATTGATTTTGTGTTTAAGTCATTGAGATTAATCATTTACGGGATTTACCATAAGTTAATGGCATATCACATATTGTCCCATGTATGGGTTATTTCCTCTGCCAGATCACTGTCGATAGATATATCATTCGAAGAGTAGAATTCTCCTTCTTGACTCAAGTCACTCTCTTGGTATTGTTTTGCTGCTATGAAAACATCATAAGCTTCTCTTGTTTCTGGACCAATCGGTGGATTAGTCATCCATTGATTAATGACTATTTTGGCTGCTCTGTGGTGAGAAGTTTCGCCCATATTAATGTTAGTGCAGATAATTCGAAGTCCATCGATCATGTAATAGGAAAAATCTTCAAGTAAATACTCAAGTTTTTTATAAAACCAGATGGTGCTTTGAAAGCGATCCAACCCTAAATCGTAGCTTTCTTCATAAAACCATTTATGAGTATGGAGACTAGTGATTGTAGAAAATTTTCAAATTTATAAGCTTGAAAAATATTCAAAACCGCTTCTTTCATGTAAGGCAGCTGTAATATTAAATTGAAGATGTGCCAAACTTATTGGAGATAAGAAGATGACAGTCTTGATAATGGCAGACAGACCTTTAAACCGTATTGGATTGTAGAAGAATGGTGGTTCTCTTGAGATTCTCAATTTACAGACAAGTCCAGCATCTATATGTGGGATATAACGAGGAATATTGGGAAGACTTGTCGCGAATCAGGGAGAGTTACATGTCGTATTAGGAAGTGTAAATTCCTTTTGATCGTTTAGAAGAAAAATGGTATTGTCATCTTCAACTTTTGGCTTAATAACCTTTTGAACATTTTGAGGCAAAGTATTTGGCCCATAGTTGCTCTCTGTTAAGACGTTCTATGCAAATATTTTGCTGGATATATTCTGGTATTTCAAGGATTTAAAACATCTCATGAGATGTTAATGGGACTTTGTTGGAGTAAGGATAGAGATAATTAATCTCATATGAAAGATATATAAATCTTTATGTCAGCTGATTATTCTGTTTAATAAATTCCTCATCCTTTTCTTTTAAAAAATTGACTAAATGAGTCATATGAACTCTGATTTGTTTTTTCTCTTGAGTGCAGATAATGTTCCATAGATTATTTAATGATCATACAGTTGGGACTTTGTAGTCCTGGGTTATAAAAACATTTCAACCTCTTTAAGGGGGATGTTGGAGTTAAGCAAATAGATTTTTCTTTAGCTTGTGAGATTAAAGCTTGATGAGTCATCTTTTTCCTGTAAAATATTCGAAAATGTGTATTTGAGTTTAGTATTTCATTAAAGTAGCGAAAAAATATTTCTAGCTGTTTCCAATGATCTTCAAAATTATGTGAAAAGAGAATTATTATTGTGGGTAGTAAGATGAGAAATTCTCAACATTCATGGAGATAGTGTTTTAAGAACTATAGAAATTTTGTTTGAAAGTAAGTATAGCCCGACGACCTTCGTCTCCAAGTATAGAAAGAGAAAGGGAGGATGAGAACAATTTTCCATTGATTTTTCTCTAGGATTTGCATTTGCCAAAAACCCATTTTTATGTAAAATTTTGAGAATATCTTTCCATGTACAATATTATCAATTTGATAGTCTGGCACTTGATAATTAACCCAAACCAAATTATTTGATTTCTTATAACCAATAATTTGACTAGTGACTCCATGTTCAGAATTAGTCTATAAACAACATGTATTATAGTCAGTTTTTATTAGATTATCTTTGATGAGCCTTTCAATTTCTTCTTTGCAAAAGTTCAGAAGAGTTTCGTTCATTCGTACTGGTATGTCAAAATGTCTATTGTCAAAAGAGATACGAGAGAACTCTTTGATATATGAAAGATGAATATGCCTTTTATTATTAAGAATTTTCATGTTAAAAGAGTTTGGACAATCTTTATCCTTATCTGTTATATTAGAAAGAACATTTATAAATTTTTCTTTAAAATGTAAGGCAGAGAATAGGCGAATAACTAATATGTCTTCAGTTCTTTATTAAACCAAAAAGAGACGTTGAGGTCATTGGCCTTTGTATGGATACCATGAGCATTTAAAATAAAAGGCTTAAGATTATTGATAAAAGGGGTTCCCAATATAATACCTTGTTTGGGGTCTTTGAATAGGATGAAAGAAGCTTTAATTTTTAGACCTCCATTGCAAATATAAGTATTGGTGAGTTTATATCGAGCTTTGAGAGCCTGACCATTAGCAGTGCTAACCAGATGAAATGTTTTCTCATAAAATCTTAGAGGAACAAGATCTTCTCTAATGCAATTTACATCTGCTCTAGTATCGATTAAAGCTGTATGCTGAACTGAGTATTCTTCCATAATGTTAAGCATGATATTACATCTTCATTTTTTCTCAACATGTTTTTCTATGGAATTTATAAATTCATTATCATTAGAATTTTGTTCATGTTCAAAGGTTTTTATTTCTTTGAAACCTTCAAATTCGTCTATGACTCTATGGTTTTATTTTCTAAGTTTCTAAATTTTTTATTTTTTGTTTAAGTTCAAGAAGTTCGATTTTTATATTTCCTTGTTCTTTTTGAAGTCCTTCAATATTTACTTTACTTTCAATCTTCTTATCATTTTGAATTCTGTTCACGATTTCAGAAAAAGTATAATACTCATTCTATACTTGGAAAACTGTTTTTGACAAATGCAAATCATAGAGAAAAATCAATGGAAAACTATTCTCATCCTCCCTTTCTCTTTCTATACTTGGAGACGAAAGCCGCCTTGCTATACTTACTTTCAACAAGAATATCTATAGTTCTTAAAACACTATTTCCATGAATGTCGAGAATTTCTCATCCTATTAACCACAGTAATAATTCTTTTTTCACATAATTTTGAAGAACATTGGAAACAACTAGAAATATTTTTTTGCTACTTTAATGAAATACTAAACTCAAATACACATTTTTGAACATTTTGCAGGAAGAAGATGACTCATCAAGCTTTAATCTCACAAGCTAAAGGAAAATCTATTTGCTTAACTCCAGCATCTACCTTAAAGAGGTTGAAATGTTTTTATAACCCAGGGCTACAAAGTCCTAACTATATGATCATTAATAATTTATGGAACAATATCTGCGCTCAAGAGAAAAAACAAATCAGAGTTCATATGACTCATTTAGTCCATCTTTTAAAAGAAAAAGGAGCAATTTATTAAACAGAATAATCAGCTGACAGAAAGATTTATAGATATTTCATATGAGATTAATTATCTTTATCCTTACTCCAACAAAGTCTCATTAACATCTTATGGGATGTTTCAAATCCTTGGAATACCAGAATATATCCAGCAAAATATTTACAGAGAACGTCTTAACAGAGAGTAACTATGGGCCAAACTAAATATTTTGCCTCAAGATGTTATTAAGGCAAAAGTTGAAGATGACAATATCATTTTTCTTTTAAACGATCACAAGGAATTTACACTTCCTAATACGACATGTAACTCTCCCAGATTCACGATAAGTCTTCCTGATATTCCTCTTTATACCCCACATATAGATGCTGGACTTGTCTGTGAATTGAGAATCTCAAAAGAACCATCATTCTTCTACAATCTAATGTGGTTTAAAGACCTGCCATTATCAAGACTGTCATCTTCTTATCTCTAATAAGTTTGGCACATCTTCAATTTAATATTATAGCTACTTTACACGAAAGAAACGGTTTTGAATATTTTCCAAGCTTACAAATTTGGAAAATTTCTACAATCACTGGTCTCCATACTCATAAATGGTTCCATGAAGAAAACTACGATTTAGGGTTGGATCGCTTTCAAAGCACCATCTGGTTCTATAAAAAACTTGAGTATTTACTTGAAGATTATTCCTATTACATGACCGATGAACTTCGAATTATCTGTACTAACATTAATATGGGTGAAACTTCTCACCACAGAGCGACCAAAACAGTCATTGATCAATGGATGACTAATCTACCGATTAGCCCAGAAATAAGAGAAGCTTATGATGTTTTCATAGCAGCAAAACAATACCAAGAGAGTGACATCAGTCAAGAAGGAGAATTCCACTCTTCGAATGATATATCTATCGACAGTGATATGACAGAGGAAATAACCCATACATGGGACAATATGTGATATGCCATTAACTTATGGTAAATCCCGTATATGATTAATCTCGTTGATTTAAACACCAAGTCAATCAACTCTTATCAATATCTTTTTCTAGTTTAAAACAATTAAATTTTATGTAAATTTTATTCACACCTAAAAGTAGCAACTGCAGAAGAAATGACAATAGATATGTCTACATACAATATGCTACTTTGGATTCCCCTCTTTGGATACTTAAGCATGAAGTTACTTTTTTCAAAAGGCTACTCTACCCCCTGACCTCTAGTAGGTTTTGACGAACTTGCTCGCATGGGCCCACAAGTTATGAAGACATCTTAGAATAGTATCTCTAAACATCTATAAAAGGGGGAGAAGCTCATGAAGTGAGAGGAGGCTTTTTGGAGGGTGAAGTGTGAGATTCTCTTGAGAATTCCTCTTATTCTCTCTTTTAGTTTTTTAGTTTGAGTTTGAGTGAGATTTGCTTTCAAGTTTTATTTTGAGTGTTTGTAAGATAAGTGTGTACTAGTACTATTACTCCGGAGCTGAGTAGTTCATCACCCAGCTCCTAGTTTGTAAGTTTTTAAGTTTACTTTCCGTCAAGTATGTAAGTGTGCCTCTTGTTAATACTACTACTACTTAGTTTGCTTTAAAGTTCTTCATTTTTGTATTAGCTTCCGTTGTATATTCTCTTGCTTCCGTCTTTACTGTTTTATTGTTTTTCCTTTTCTTTTATATATACATGTGAACGAAGAAGAAGATATAACTATAAACAGTTCAATATCCTCTCCTCCGTCTACACAATATTCCCCACGAGCTAGCGAGAGAGAGAGAGAGAGAAACTTATGTCAACTTAAGTGGACCATCCACCAAAGTTTCTATCCATTGATGATACCTAGAGATCCGTGCATCATATGAAGAGACTTTTCATCAATGGATAGAAACTTTGGTGGATGATCCACTTAAGTTGACATAAGTTTTTTTTTTCTTTCTCTCTCTCTCTCTATATATATATGTATGTATCCTGTCCGAGCCGTATCCGGACCGAATGCATCCCTACTTCTTTGTTTAAGCCCTTAAAACAAGATTCTGCCATTTCATTGCCCCATATTCATTTTTTCTTCTTGGCTTGTCATTTTTTCATGTCTTTTCTCTGTTATATTTCTTCACTAGCTTTGTATTTATGCGTTATGAATATGTATTTTTGTTTGGGATTTCCGGTAGTAGCACTCTTTTTGCTGTTTTTTGCAGGAGAAAGGTGCAGAATTTTTGGATTCTAGAAGGAATTTGTACAAGGTTAAACGTGAATTGAAATATAGCATGAAGTTATATTGCATGGAGTACTACTTTGAGGTTTTCAAAGATGGTAATGCTTCAATCCGATGGAAACCAACCATTTGTACTTTATAACTGAGAATAGGTTCCTATCGTGAATATACTGCAAGTTTCTTGACTGACTCCTGATTCTTAATGACTAGATAAAACTGAACCATGGGATGATGATTTACACAAAATACAACTATCCTTTGGAGTGTCTCAGTTTCTGGTAAATCACTTCTTACATTCCATGTAACTCTCGAGCTTCACAATAGGAGGATTTGATCATAAACTATTCATATTTGTTGCTAAGTTCAGGTTCATCAATGATAATTACAAACACCACTGCTTCCTTGCCAAGAAACATAAATATCAGTTTCTGATAATTAGCTGACACTAATTTGCCCTACACATACCATGTTGGATTTGAAGCATGTCAGTCCTTTAATTTTTCCTGACAGCAAAACATATCGCGTAGGGTTAAGCTTTTTACCTCTTAGGCTCTATCATTTCATGGTTCTAACTTCTGACTTATAACTGAGGATGTGACTAAATTATTAAATTTGATACTCTTTAAGTTCCTTCCATTCCACCAAACCTCTGGAGTTATGGCAACTGGCAAGGTCAAATTATGTCATTGGAATTACTCATGTTTACCTTTTTCACTTTCATATGTTGGTTTTCCTATCCAATGGTTTAGCTCTGTAAAGCGTTTTCTGACAGTTGTATTCATTCATACATCTAAAGTATTCTCTTCAATGGGTACTCTATAATTTTGTTCTATATGATGTTTTTAGCATAGAGAATACTGATTCACCATCCGCTACCAGGTTATTGCCCCGCTGAGTGCTAGTGGTGTTGTCCTTGATGCACCCGAATCAAGCAAGCTTTTAAGCGCCGTTGCAACCGCTTTATCGAACTGTGGAAGGTGGTTATTTTACCGTTCAAATGTTAAGATACATAGAGAAATCATATTAGTACAAAAGTTTCCTTCATATTTTTTACTGATGAAATGGAGGATTAATGCAAACATAAGTGGTTAAAGTCAATAAGATAACTCAATACCACATACTGATACACAGATTATACAGTGCAGAATAAATATACTGATATCTTCTTTATGAAAGTTTGTTTCCATATACAATTCTGTCATTTTTTATGTGAACATTTGTTTTTTCTATACATTTTTGCATTGTAGCTTTACCATACTTTAATTAGGATAAGCGATTTGCTCTAGTGAATTTTAATACTGTTAAAAAACATACAAAATTGTATTTGTTAATTTGGTAGTACCTTTTGCCAATTTAGGTGCATATGGTTTCACTACATTGTACAATTTGATTTTTTTGTTTTACTAGTCAGTGATACAAATTAGTGAACCATTCAGGTAGCAAAATTCTGGCATGATAGAAGGAGGTAGATGGGAGGGTTTACATCTGATTTTTCTTTTTTTACTAAATTATAAACTTGAAGACATAATTAACATTACACTATGTCATAATTTTATCGATTGTTAAAGTGTGAATTAGTTAAGTGATTTTTTTCAACCTTGTGAAGGGAAAAGAGGGTAGAAGAATACCTTTTTTTTTAATATCTCAATCCAGAATGACATTTTGTAACTTCAAAAACATTATATTTTCCGGTCGTACAGTTGTATAGTCGTGATATGATTATTAACTGGTTATATGATGCCTAACACGTTATACTTGTAATGGCTAAGGTTCTTGGTTTTTTAATACTTGTTCCCCAGGCTGTCTATTTTGAACATGAATAATCTGAAGTGTGTTAAAAGATTTGCTTTAGAATTATTAGATGTAATAAACATTTTAAAGAATTTCCCCGCATCTGAGTTTTTATTAATTTTTATATTCTGACGCTCTTTCTTAAAACAGTTGCAAAGTCTTGATCTTTTTCGATTCTTATCTTTGTACTTGTAACATCCAATGTGGACTAATGCTGATTTGATTTACATTGCAGTAATTGGCCTGCTTTTGTTCCAGTCCATGATCCGTCTAGAAAAGCATATATCGGGATTCAGAATATGGGAACAACTTTCACTAGAAGGTTTGATTCTGATAGAATTGGCAGCCAAGTTCCCGTGAGGCTCATGCATATGGAGGGACTGTATGAATTATTTGTCTCCAAATTTGTGAGTATGAATTAAAGTAAACCATTATTTATATTAAAGATCATGCTTTTACTAAATCAAACTTGTTTCTTATTTATTCATTTTCTTTTCCAGCTATAATTGTAATATAACTGCTTGATGACCTTGAAAAAATCCCTGCAAATATAACAATGAGGAAGTCGGCCTATCATATTTTTCATTGCCTCATTTATTGCAATGCTTTTCCGTGTTCTCTTGCAAACTAAACTATTTTTTATTTGTTTTGGAGGCCTTGTCCTCAATAGATTTCTCAACTACCTTCATTGAAGTTCACTGCACAATGAAGCTGACATATAGAACACCTCCATATGATGAGGATGACGATGGTGATGGAGAGAACTTAGAAACTGAAGATAAAGAATCAAAAGGAGATACAGATGGGATTAATCATATCGTGTCACAGTGGGATGATGATTACCCTTGGGCAGAGTGGTACTCTGCGGAGGATCCAGTTAAAGGTATTATTTGTTTTCATTGTGGAGCTGAGGATGCATTCAGGTTTTTGAAAATTCTTCTTATTGGCTTACAAGAGCGTAGCTTAATCGCAATCCCATTTGATAGAGGGAAATCTTTGGTCTTCTCAGCCTTTCAATGACACCTTTGTATTTGTCTTATCTCTTTCTTGTTATTCAAGATTTCGACCATCTTGCTTATTTGGACAAAATATGCTATTATGATCTAAGTAACATTTGAAAATGGAGTTATTCACTACCAGTTACAAATCATTTCTTAAAAGTTTGGTTATCTTAATTATTCTGGTTTGTCGCTGATGCTTGAACATAATGCATACTTGAATGGTCGGCCTTTCAACATTTTCAATCTCAATATTGTACAGTTCAGATGAATCCTATGCATGGCATGATTCTCCTGTTCAAACCACTATCATGAGATTCATGAGAGGCGAAAAAAGAGGAAATAACTTAACCTGTAATGTTTTTCTTCCATAAATTTTTTTACTTTGTTTTAACTTCTGCCCCTACCCCCATTTGGTTTCTTTTACGTCTAGCTGAATCACATCAAAGTGACACCCAAACCATTTAACAAAAATGCTAGAGGAGCGAATCACTTAAAAAAGAAATATAACTTGCAGAACTTCTTCGTAGAACTTTTGTCAAATTCACTCGAGGCCTGTTGACGAGTGTGAGGCCAGTTGACTAGTGTGCAAAACTCGCAAATTTCCACTCCTTTAGTCCACAGTTGAGAGAGCAATAGAAAACAGTTGGCAATTATAATTATCATTGAATAAGTGCTGACTGGTGGACATCTATTTACTATGTTCTTATCAGACTGGTGGACATCTATTTACTATGTTCTTATCAAAGTACTATTTGGAGTGCTAATATATTATGCTAGAATAACTTTCCTTTTGTGGCAGGGGAGGGGTATATTCATTCTTCTACGTCAATGAAAATGTAGATGAGTAGGTTCATTAGCCTCTTACTAATTCATATGTTCTAGCTTTTGTACAATGCAATTATGTTTGTCAGTTAGTCTATTACTAGTTAGCCCCTCCTTTTAGTTGATAGTCTGATATTAAAACTAATTTTCTCGAAGAAATAAATATTTTATTGGTTATCCATCACACTTTCATGGCTGCAATAAATGTTGATTCTAATATGGAACTTATTTATGTATTTAAGGTTTTGAATTGACTGCCATCTGGCCAAGTAAGATTTTTGAAGGTTCCCTTGAGATGGCTGAGTTAGAGAATGCTTCCTCATTTGATGCGGAGAAGTGGCTAATTTATCTTATTGTATCTCCGAATATGTAAGTAACGATCACCAAACTTCAAAAACCATTGTTTGTATACCTAAATTTCTATAACTCTAGATATACAAGTTTGATAGTTTGTATTACTTGTTGTATAGGTTTTATGGTTATGGACACATTAATGTAATACGATACAGACATAACTGTGTAATAACCTTGAAAACTGGGACAACACTATATGCTCACATAAATTGGTAAATGGATTTGGACATATCTTATGCACTAGAGAATGTTTCTTCACTTTTTATCTTATGCACTGGGAATTTCTTTAAAGTACTTATAATATTTATTAAAATGTAACAACCAATAGCAAGAAGTCGCTAGAATAGCAATATTTATTTTACAGAAAGGAAAATTAAGACAAAATAGCCAGTAGCATTGTACAAGTTTATCTTTCATTGAAACTATAAGTATGAAAAGTATATAGCACTCTTATCATCTGCAGAAACTAATATCATCTTCGATATCGCCTCTCTTCCTTACAGGATTGATGATTCATTGGGTAAGTTGACTGGGTTTGCCTCCCAACTATATCTTCTAGTAGGTGCGCTAGACAAGTCATTTGAGGCCCTTTTTTTGGAAGATTTCACATCAGGTATGCAAACATGCTCATATTTCAGTTACAGAATGATGTACTGTAATCCTAATATCTTGCTTTGCTATGTTAGCCAGCTGAAAATATGGGTTCTGATAATTCAAAGTCTACGTCTTCAGTACCTCCTCCTACTGCTGTTGATCGCATCCTAAAGGAGCTCTTTCATGAAGGTACCACTTCACCTTTCTAAGAATGCCATGTAATTGTTAAAACTCAAGGTTGCGATGAACCATTGTGTGGTTACTCATGGTGCCACCAAGATACAACCACATTTCAATGGATATCTGGATATGATTCTTCTTTCTAGCATCCTCATGCTTTCAAAAGAATCTCCCTCCCTTCCTCCCTCCCTCCATCATGCATATGTCTGTCTATGACTCAGTGTCCATATCTTGTATTACTGTGAAGTATCTAAGATAGTTTATCCTTTTCCCAAGCATGTAGAGAAGCCAGTATGCAGCCCCTACCTGAACATGTGATCCATGGTCCACACACCCATAATTTAATACACTATTATGAGGCATATCAGTGTTATATTTTGATTACTTTCTCATTTTCCCAGCTTGTAAAAAAAGCCTTCTGTATTGGTTACCTGAACATGTTACAGGTGTTAGTGTTCACGTGGTTAAAAGTGTTCCATAGAATCCTTTTGAAATTTTACCTGGGAAGCCACCTATGTTTTTATGGTATATGTATTACTATGTTTTTTCAATATGTATTATATAATCCACAATCCATCTAGCTAATTGGACTCCTTTTAAGCAAATAATTGTGTAAATATTAAGCCAGTGTAGTATGGGCTTGAAATTTCATGTCACAATTGCACTGGAAAGGTGATGTCATCATAACATTTTGAATAGATATATCATCAGATTGAGGCAGTAATTCTCACGTATCTGAGCTTCCAAGTTTTTTAACGTATCAGAATCTCTGAAAGTTGGAAATTCAGGACTCCAGTTACATTATGAATCCAATCAATTTTGATCTTAACATGCTTTTCATTGATTAATAGCCCTCTTTCCCCTTTGATCAAGTAGAAAGCAAAACGATGAGATAAGCTACGGTTAGTGCAGTAAATAGAACAATTTCTTTTGTGCTCTGTATTTACTCTTGCATTTTATTAGCCAAAACTGTAAATGTCTGTCATGGAGTCACACTCTTTTATTGCTTTATTATGTGTAATTATTGTATGGCTACAATCAGTATATGATGGAGTAGCATGTAATCTCCTTTTGAATACTTAGCACTTAACCATTTGACAAATTATGTTTTAGGAGGTCAAAGTTCAAACTATGTTCAGCTTGAACATAAAAAGTCCCGGGTTATCAAAGGAGCGCCTCTGGATTCTCTGTTTGCACAGTTCTGTTTACATGCAATGTGGTTTGGCAATTGCAATATACGAGGTTTGGACAGTCTTGACTTTTGTGCTTGCTTGTACACTGGTTTAGTCCCGTCTCCTTTTTGGTTGGGCAATCTTTCATACATTTGTTTTCTCTTTATATAATCAGCAATAGCAACACTCTGGATTGAGTTTGTTCGAGAGGTTCGTTGGTGCTGGGAAGAGTCACAGCCATTACCCAGAATGTCAACTGACTCCAGCATCGATCTTTCCACCTGTCTTGTTCATCAAAAGCTGCAAATGGTAATTTTTTTGATATAGTGCTCTACCATCTTTTTCTTTCTAGTCTGTCTTGATCTGGGAGAGATTTTCTAACTGAAAGAGGCTTATATGATTCTAAAGATGATTTGCGTTTATTGCCTTCTTGTAAGCTTGCAATATGCATTCAGAAGAAGGGCTTGTTAGATAACTTCCACAGTAGCAACAAAAGCAAAGGACAAATTTCTGATGAGAATAAGGTGAATTTCATCTCTTCATGGGCTTTATCTACATTTTTATCTACATTTTCGTACTATATATTTGAAGTAAATTTCTTATATTCTCGAGCCTTTTATTTAACTTATTATGTTGTTCATGAATGGCTAATCAATCCTTTGATGTAAAATGCAGTCTGACTTCCAGAATGCAGGCAATCACTGTCACGATCCAGTACATGAACATTCTCCGGATGATAAGAATTGCAGGTAAAAAAGCAAGCAACCAGACACAAGCTCCTATATTTGTTATAACTTGTGGCGCCATCATGCATTATTTGACGCTAAAGCATCCAGACAGATTAACAACAATGTCATTGTTGCTTTTCAAGAATTTTTGAATTTTCCAGTCACTTATTGGATATCATTATTAGCGGTGGGTTACAATGAGATATTACATAGTTTTTATACTTCGAGAGTTGCCTAACTTCGAGAGTTGCCTTCTCTCTCTTATCAAGTTACCGTTTCCCCTATTTCGTTCTTTTTTAGTTTAAAAATTATCGATCAGTGTGCAGTGGAGAATTTTGAGCCATAGCTACCACCTTTATATTTCTAAGCAATGCCCTTTTCTCTGGGTTATATTATTGTAGAATGGGAACAGAGTGATAAATATATTTTCTAGGATTTTAGTCCTAGAAGATGCCCGACTGTGTGTATCAAGGTGACATGCTACAAGTAAATGTTCTAGCATGCGGGTAATCTTACCATAAGATACTTCAATAAATGAGGAAAAATTGGATTTGCTATAATCGGTGACAGCAGAAATATTTATTTTTGCAAGATGATAATAATGTTAAGAAAGAGCTCCAACGAATATGTCTAGGCATTGTAATAAGAAATCAGTACCTGAGATTTGATTGTTAGTTTTCAGTAAGGCAAATGGTGAAAAGAGCCTAGATGATATTACAGTGGTAAATGATGTTAGCATATTTTTAAGCTTCTTTGAAGGGTAAAAAAGGGGAATATGGATCATTCATATGCAATTTTAATGAATATGATATGCCTCTCGAGCGCAACTCTTGGGTTGAGACTCAAGAGCAATGTAGATAAAAATGAGAATTCATGTATCTTTTGAGTAATTCAACTTTTTCGAGGCTTTATTGTTGCTGCTGATTGAACTATTCTGTCCATCTGGTCCTCTCGTAAGATATAAATTTTAGTTAAACGAGTCAATTTACTTCCACACAAAATAATTTCCTTTATTTTACAGGATTAGCTAAGCAGGACTTTAATTTCAAGTAAATTTTGCTTTTGTTATTTACAGTTTCTTGCTTACCAGTGATCCAGCCAATCATTCAAAGTTTAAATAGAGAATGGAACAGATCTAGATAGTTTAAATAGAGAATGGAACAGATCTAGATGAACCCAGCCTAATTTGCTTGCCTGGGTATACTATGTAGTAGATATTCAGCCTACGCATCCTCTGTAAGTCATACATGCTTATGTTGTTAGGTGTCTGAATGTCTCAGATTCTTTTTTCTGATACAGTTATTTGATACCAAATGGCCACGATGGCACAGAAAATGCAACTGTTAGTGTGAATCCTAGTCATGGAATAGCATCTGATGAGCAACGAAATGTGAATACGTCAAGGAGGGGATCGGCTCGTATTCTAGAATCTTCTACACTTCTGCATTCATTTCAGAAGATGCATGCTCCATATACCCAGGTTTTTAATGGCCATCTTCATCTTGCACTCTGTATACAGTTTTTCGAGCACCTTGACTTGTATGAGTGCTTATCTAGTCTTCAATTTTCAGGAAGCACCACCTATGACAGAAGATATGCATGAAGAAAGGCTCCGTGCAGTCGAAGCTTTTGGTGATGCATTTGTAAGTCTGTATTCTCTCAAAATAGTACTGGGTTATAACTTATATGAATCTTTCATGCTGGTGTTGAGTATGGTCCTTAGTCAAATCCACAGTCAAGGCTCCTTGTTGGACATTTCAGCAGCTTTAGTGCAATCACAATATGCAAACTCATTTTAGTGCTTACTTATGGTCTTCTGTAGATAGCAGAATAACGTTCCCTATGGCCACATCTTTTTCTAACATATGTATTCTCATGTCATCCTGTTACCATTGTTGCCAAGAAGTAAACAATTGTGAGTTGTCTTTATCACATTCTAATTTTTTTCTCCTGTTTTTTGCTTGTACGACCTGAAAACTCCACTTGAATCAAATTTCCTTTATATTTAATACTTCCAAAATCCAAGAAAATTATATATTACATATATGATATATTCAAGAAATTCGGGTTCTGTACTTGCTACTGCTATTGATAATACACGTTAGTGTCATTACACTTAATTTCCATATCCAGTTTCTTTTATCTTATTTGTGCATTGATTAATACAGGAGAAAGAAAACTTCCTACGATTTTTGAGGTTTAAGCCTACTGAGAAAATGAGGAGTGTATGTGTGAACTTGGTTGCTGGGCAAAGCTTTTAGGCACAAATGCTTAAAACTCAGGTTGCAGTATGAAGGTTGTCAGGTAGTTTAGGACAATCATTGTTAATTACAAATACTTCACTGATGGAGATTTGGCTGTGGATGATGGGCGACACAAATGCAGTCAGAATGGTTTGCTAATTTATGTGATTTGCAACTCATGATATTTTGTCCTTGCAATTTACTATGCAAGGTAGACATGATTCATTGGTCATCCAAACACACAACTTGTGTGTTGGGGGTTAGGTGGGATTTTTTTTGTTGATTCTCTTTTGC